GGACCACCGGTGTGGACAGCGCGCTGAGGCTTTCGCAGGTTCGAACGACGTGGGTGGCCTGAACACCCTCAGCCAACCCTGCGGCATGCACGGCTGCCAGGAGGCTGGGCATAGCGACCGGCGAGGTCTCCGAAAGCTTGCGCGTCAGGATCCGCCATCGCACCCAGTCTATTAGATTGTTTTCGGCGACGTTGGCTGTTTTATTCCTAATTCCCCCGTTTTCCGGGATAGGAAATCCAACTTCCTGGACCCCCTCAAAAAAATCAGAGATAGACTGGGGGAACAGCAAGACGGAATCTTGCCCTCTCACTCTGTGCAATTCCACTTTTATCCTCCCTCCAACTCTTAACATACGGAAAACGGAAAGCGGAAAAGTTTTAATGGAGAAACTCATGTACAGCCCCCAGCTTTTCCATTAATTAGTGGTAGGGGGTGACGCGATGCCACAATGTGCCTCCACTGCCCCGGTCACCGTGTCGAGCGTGCTCTTGATGCCACCGTGATGACGTAAAGGTCATCAAGGAACGCCAGCAGCTTGTCGGCTGGATTGAGGTCGCCCGCTGCCCGTGCGAGAGCACCGTGTTGCCCCAAGGCATATAACGCGGGGGCCAATGGATCGCCCTGCTCACAGCCCTCGGCCTGTTGGACATCACGCCTGCGGCCGGCCGCGTCCCACCAGCTATAGGTGGAGGCGACCATAGAACATGCGCACGAAAGGCAGCAGCAGTTCTGGCGCCACTTCCTGCAACTTGACCAGGAAGGCCGCTCGCGAAAAGCTATCGTAGGCACTGCGGCCATCGAGCGAAACGACGACTACGTCCTCGCGCGAGACCAGCGCCGCTCGGACAGTCGCAACGATGGCGTCAGTGCCCGCCCGCGACTGGAGTGCGTACTGGTACGGTCGCGTGGTGTGGTCGAGAGTAGCGTGGTGTGGTCGAGAGTAGTTCCCCACTGCTTCGCGCGAGCACGCGCGACGAGGCGGCGGAATGCATCGCCTGTGGCTATGCCGCAGACCCCGCCGTCAGGCTTTTGGAGAGCCGTCAATCGGGCCATCGCATTTTCGCATCGTGGAGGGATGTGTGGCTGCGGCGCTGTGAAGCGGTAGGCGTGTATGGAGTTGAGCCGTTTGCTCATGCCGTCTTGCAGCTGCTCTCTACGCCGCATGACCGGCGCAACTCCATTAGTCTCACGTCTGCCCACTTGCACTTTGCGGCAGCCGTGTGTTGAGCGCGTAATTCTGACTGCTACTAATTTGATATTTGTTTCATCGCTGTACATTGCGAACTGATGCGAACTGCACATCAGCTTCCCTGAGTAGTTGGTCACTGACCGTTGCTTGAGGACTCGTGCTGCTGAGGGAGACGCAAAAACTTGGCAAGAAGTGGGCGGATGCCCTGGGCCGACGACGCGTTTTTTTTTCCTGGAAAATTTAATTTGGTTCTAGCCATTTCGGCTCAAACCATTTTGGTTCAAACCATTTTGGCTCAAGGAGCGTCAAGTTCGCCCTTTCCCGCTTTCTCTGAGGCGGTCCAGGTTCCCCCCCTGCGCCGGCCGCATATGCCTCGTCAATCCCGTTCCCAGGTCTTGCTTGCCCCTTGTGCGGCACGGCCGGTGTTCCGCATGTGGCCCCGCCATGCCGTGCATCCCGGACCGAGTGTCGGGTGAGTCCATTGTCCGTGCTGCCCAACCGGATTACAACCTGCGCACATTGGCCAGGGAGGGCACAATATAGGGCACGGCCTGGAGGTGAGGACGCCACGCGGCACACGTTTTCGAGCGCGGCTAGGTCAGTGCACGTGCCGCGAACACCTTCGACATCACACTCGCACCAAGTTTTCCTGCGAATTCTTGCGAGGGCAAGAGCATGGATGGTGCAGTGTGTAGTACCTTTCGCGGCCTCAGCTTCCCCGACCCCGCCTCATCCTGTACGTGCAGCAATGGCCTGAAAGCCTCAAAGGCTGTGTCCTCACAGTCAGCGTTGCGGGAGACAAGCATTTCCCAAATGCCAGCTGAGACGCGTCAAAACGCAAACGGTTTTATAGGGGCAGCGGCACCAACATCACACATCAGGCGAACTTGAAGCACATACTTCGCTTCCAGCTACCACTGCCCAGGGTAATACGTGAAATATCCGTACCGTGTTTCGCATAGCTTCTACGGACGGCCAGTGGGTTTTTTTTTTTGCCGCCTCCTGGATGAGGCTGATTGCGATATGAACTTCTGCCGTTCGTCCTCGGGCAAGCCGGCTCAAATGGAAATTCTGGATGGACATGCCATCACCATGCCAAGATTCGGGGTCCGGTTTGCCGTTTGAGGATCGAGTTGGGTATCATGCGTTGGGGTGACCATCGGATCATCCTCCCCGCAGTCGCAGCGGCGTCACTGCATCCAGCTGGGCAGGTGGGGACGCCTTGGCTGGCGTGCTGTAGAGCGGCGGTGGGCACGGCGGCGACGGCGGCGGGTGGTGGATGGGGCGGGCGGCGGGCGGCGGTCGGTGCTCGTGCCGGGCATCGTCCGCTGGACCCCGTGCGGCCCCAGCTGCGGTCGCACCCGCGTAGGATTCTAAAAATGCTGCTTGCGCTGCCGCTGTGAGATATCCATCTGGGGCCATGCAAGGCAGTAGCGCGCCGATAAGGGCAGCGGGGCGTCGGGCATGGCGGAAGTGGTTGCCGCCGACGCTCGATCTTCCGTGGAGGTGCCCCGGTGAGTGTCATGAGCCTCGCACATGAGCCTCGCACATCCTCGCACTCGGTGACTGCAAGCAAGGTCTGGGCGAGCCCTGACGGCGGAACTGGGGGCGCATCGCGCAACAAGGACACAAGTTCACAAAAGCGAGAGCCGAGCCCAGGATGCGATTGCCAGTCCTGCTGAGCGCGCGAGGCCAAGTGGCCCCTGTACAGCCATGAATTGCGCTCGCCGGGCAAGGAGCTCGGCGGGCGGGCATCTTGCCAAGGCAGGGGCTCAGCATTTGCTGAGTGCATGCGAGGCGGCCGCTCCGGCGAAGGTGGCGGCGTGAAGCCCGGTGTCGCCTCTTCGGGTGCCATTGGGGCCATCGCTCCCGAGGGTCGCTGGCGGTATCTCCTCCCCGGGAAAAAGCGAAAGGAGTGGTGGAGCTGAGTGTGTCCGACAAAGTTTCGGCAGCATCCGTGTCCGCTTGGTGGTCGCGCACAGCGGCCGGGCGGGGACCAGGCGGCAACAGTTGCATCTGAGCGAGTGCATGCAATGCGCGTTGTCGCCGGTTCGCGGCCTCTAAATCCGGGCCTGGGTGGTCCGCTTCGCCGATGCGACGGCCATGATGCTCGCGTTCCCGACGTTGTGTCACATCACTGGCTGTGGCTGGTGGGCCGGGGTGAGCGGCCTCGCCAATGCGCCGCCCTCGGCACGGGTGCGGTGTCCAAGAGCTGACGTCGCGCCGTGGCGCAGCAGTAAAAAGAGTAGACTCCTCTACAGCGGTCGTGCTTCCAAGTGGCCACCGGTTCCCGGCCACACTCTATTGCGTCGGTTGCGAAACGGGCCGCCGGGCCTCAACGCGTCCTCGGCGCGGTGCTGTGGTGCGCTGTCCGTGCTGGGCGGGCTGATGGGTGCGGCGGTGACGGGGCATGGGCGTGCGGGAGGGCGCAAAGCAGTGTAGTCGGCGACTGGTCTAGGGATGCGGCCAGCTCGGCAAGTTCGCGTTCGCCTCCTGCCTCCACGCATGCTAGCAGCTCCGACGCGGCCACCACCCAGGCCGGCGGACATGGGCGGCGCGCCAGCACCCGTCCCCAGAACAGCGTCGCCGCCAGCACGCCCAGCAGCAACCCGAAGCACAACCAGCCCCAGCCCAAGGACCTTAGGAGCAAGGCCCCCAGCCTGGCGAAAAGTAGCGAGGCGGGCCAACCAAGCAGGTGAGCACGGCGTGCGCAGCTTCTCGGCAGGCTGGGCAGCTGTTGGCAAAGTCGCTCTTGTCGAGTCCAACCCCCCATCGCACGGCACCTGCAAGAAACGGCACGCCGAAGGCCGTGGGACTCGCGGCCACGGGCAGGCGGCGGTGAAGCGGCATGTGATCGCCTAGACATGATGCTGTTCAAGGCTCTCTTGTGCTCCTCTCCCTGCACGATCCAGCGGTAGCCCCGGAGTCGCGCCAGCACCCAACGCCGATGCCTGCGCGCAAACGAACATTTCAGGCAATTTCAGGAATCCCGGTGGATTTGAAACTCGGGGCCGCCTGGCACCCACGAGCTAGCCGCGCCGCTCCTGCTCCACATTCCGGGATTGTCGGATGAGGCGGCCAAGGCATGGGAGCCGTTGCCGTATTCCGCGATGCTCCGCAATAGCCAGGCCTTGGTGCATGGATCGCACGTGCCATTCCAGCAGTAGAAAGCAGCCAGTGCAGCACACGCAGGTCGCCCCTTTCGCTTCCCGGACAGCCATACGGAGAATGCGCGACGTTGCGACGTTGCGACGTTGCGACGTTGCGACGTTGTGACGTTGATCTTGCCTCAGAAGCCACAGGCCTACCCCGCAGTTCCAAGTTAGGGACGCTCCACGCATTGGCGCTGCTTGCCAGACGGCCTACGTATACGTATATGTCTATGTATATGTACATGTATATGTATATGTGTATGTATATGTGTATGCATATGTACAATAGCAGTGTGGATCCAACTACACAACGGCGGTGCTTTTTTGGTCCTCGCATCTTGCGGAAGCAAGCAGCACTGCCACTGCGACTCTTGTGAAATTCTTTGGACACACACCCAGCAAAGGCTCAGAAGCTGAGACAGCCAGGTGTTTTTTCATTATCAAGAGACTGGCGCTTGCAACACGACATCTCCATGCCCAAGCTGTCCCCACGACTTCAACGTGATGTGCAAGCACCAGGTTGCCCAAACCCAAAGATAGCGGCTTGGGGCCACTGCCAACAAGGTTCGGTCCTTCTGCGGCCTACGTTGTGGCACCTCCAGATCCTCTGACCTAAGCCACCATCCATGACAGGCGAGTCTGCGCCGTGTCGGAGCATCCTACTTGTAGCCGACTTGTGCGGTGGAACTGTGGCTTTCAGTGAAATTCGGCCTGAAGCTCAGTAAGGTAGGCCGTCCGAATGTCCCAGATCCTCACCAGAGCCGGGCAGGGACTCGGAAAGACAAAGACACCCTGAAGTAAGTGATGTGGCTGAGTTCACAGTCAGGATCCCCCTATCTGATTCGTCCCTAAGCCCGAAAAATCCTTGTCATTACTCAAGCTCTATTCCTTGGTTAAGGGGTATGGGGCTCTTGGAGTGAGCTCGGAGCTACAAGCTAGTATGCGTATAGTTCGTTTTGTTTGCTCGCACGATATGGATATTTCATGCTTGTATGTAATTCATTGATGTATACAACACACAGAGACAGATATGTTATCATATATATGTTTAGAGAGATACCTCATCAAAATCAGTCGCCAGACACTCCAACACCCCTTCACTAAGGAAGAGTCCTGAAGCCCTCTAAGGAACCCTAGTCTACTTTAAGGCATATTCCTGAATCAAGGTGTATTGGAGTCCCGGAAGACCGCGAACTCACAAACAGACCGCGCCTGCGGCACCGGCAACCAGCAGGCGACCGCGGCGCACGCAGAGGGAAGAGGGCCTCTTTTCCCCCAGGGTTTAGGGTTTAGGGTTTAGGGTTTAGGGTTTGGGGTTTAGGGTTTAGGGTTTAGGGTTTGGGGTTTAGGGTTTAGGGTTTCGGGTTTACGGTTTAGGGTTTAGGGTTTAGGGTTAGGGTTTAGGGGTTTAGGGGTTTAGGGGTTTAGGGGTATAGGGGTTTAGGGGTTTAGGGGTTTAGGGGTTTAGGGGTTTAGGGGTTTAGGGGTTTACGGTGCAGGGTGTAGGGCTTCGGGGTTTAGGGCTTCTCTGCTGAATCTTGAACGTCTAGGTTCCCAAACACGAGGAGTCACATAAGAGGGGCCACCCCAATCCTCGGTATAGGAACCCCCACAACCTTAAACCCCAAACCCTTAACCGCAATTCTGCACAATAGGGGGGGTACTATAATCCGTATTTTTGAGCTGTTAGTATAGGGTCAACATACCAACTCTAAACTATCATGATAGCATCCCCAAACCCTAAACCCTAAACCCCTAAACCCCCAAACCCCTAAACCCCTAAACCCCTAAACCCCTAAACCCCCCCCCAAACCCTAGACCCTAAGCCGTAAACCCTAAACCCTAAACCCTAGACCCTCACCGCCTAAACCCCTAAATCCTAAAATGCGCATGTTCCCAACTCAACCCCGAGCCCTGGGCTCCGCACCGAAACGCACCCCAGGAAGGCTGCCAGCGGCCGAGGAATGCACCTGTTGTTGTTTAGTACTTAGGGTTTAAGATTTAGGGTTTAGAGTTTAGGGTTTAGGGGTTAGGTTTATTTAGGGTGCATTTAGGGCCTTAGGGTTTCGGGCTTAGGGTTTTAGATGGGTTCAGGATTTCGCGTTTAGGGTTCGTAGGGTTTGGTGTTTCATTGCGGCATAGGGTAGGCATGTTGAACCTCTGACCAACTTTGGCTTTTCGATAAATTCCTTGAGAGCTTAAAAGCATAATCCGTCGAGGCCTCGGGCCATAGGTGTTTTGGTGACATAAAGCAGGTACCCAATGCCTCGAAAGCGTGGGTACCGTTCTGGTGGTCCCCCAACCAACCCCACTTCCCCGAACGGCCCGAACCCCACCCCACCCAGCACCCAACCTCACCCATCCCACCCCCCACCCCCCTCCACCCCTCCTGTTGCCATGCTCCGCCCTGCCCACCCACCTACCGGTCTACCTGTTACAACAGGATCCCCAAAAGGGAATGATCAAGATGTTCGACTACGTTTGGATGCCCTAAACCCTATACCCCAAACCCGAAACCAACCCAAAAACCAAAATTCCGCAAAACCTCAAAAGCCCAAGGAAAACCTACAAGACCTAGAAACAGCAAAACAAAAAAGCCAAAATCATCTAAACCCCAAAAGCCAAAAAAGGGAAACTGCCGGCCTGAGGGCAGGTGCCAGGCCGCCAGGGCCCCTGTCTCGGCAAGCCAGAGTCGGCCCGTAGCCTCCACGTGCCTCAGGGGGATTTTAGGGTTTAGGGTTTAGGGTTTAGGGTTTGGGGTTTCGGGTTTCGGGTTTAAGGTTTAGGGTTTCGGGTTTAGGGTTTTGGGGTTAGGGCCAGGTCAGGGTCTGTAGGGCGGGAAGCCTACCCTAAACCCTAAACCCTAAACCCCAAACCCCAAACCCCAAACCCTAAACCCTAAACCCTAAACCTGAATGAAGAGCCGAGTCACAAGGCATCCGGCGCCGCACCGCAGCCGGCGGCCGACAGAGGCACCTCTGAGCCTGATCAACATGGGGGGGGGGGGGGTTTTACGGGGTTTAGGGTTTAGGGTTTAGGGTTTAGGGTTTAGGGTTTAGGGTTTAGGGTTTAGGGTTTAGGGTTTAGGGTTTAGGGTTTAGGGTTTAGGGTGGGTTTAGGGTTTGGGGGTTTAGGGTTTCGGGTTTATAAGGGTAGTTACATGGTTCCTTAGTATGGGCCTTATATGAGCCACCCCCCCCTCCCCCCCACCATGGTAATCCCCCCCCTTGTGGTTCATAGTGGGTTTTGGGTTCCCCTCCCCCAACCTGTGGTTCATGGTCTGTGGTTCATGGGTTTAGGGTTTAGGGTTTCGGGTTAGGCTCTAGAGTTCAGGATTTTCACTCTGACCCCCTTGGTCCATTGGTTCGCGGTTAGAGTTTACGGTTCAAAGGTTTGGGGTAATGGTAGGTTTATGGTTTCCCCTCTCCCCCCTGTGGTTCGTGCTGGGTTTACGGTTCAGGGTTAAAGCGGTTAAGGTTTCAGGTTTACCCTTCTCCCCCCTGTGGTTCATTGGCGGGTTTAGGTTCTAGGGCTTAGGGTTCAGGTTTGGGGTTGAGGTTGAGGGTTTCTCTCTCACCCCCCTGTGGAACGTGGGCGCATACCTACCCCTTATATACTATATAATATACCCTGTACAAAGTAACGGCCCATACTTCAGAACCCTTTAAAGGAGGTTAGGGACCATATGGAGGGCCCATGAAACTACGCTCAGAACAACGGGACGGGTGTTGGGAGGGCCTATAGGGTTTAGGGCTTTAAGGTTTTTTGGTTCATTTGGGGTTTAGGGTTCAGGGTTCAGAGCAAGGGGACCGGCAAGGGTATGCGAAGGTTGTTTGGCTTTGGGGCTTAGGGCTTAGGGTTTAGGGTGTGGGCTTAAGGGTGTAGGGCTTTAGGGGGCTTAAGGGTTTGGGGTTTAGGGAGCGCGAAGAGTATGCCCAAGAGAGCCCCAAAATGCCCAAAACTCCTATTTAAGGGGCCTGGGGCGGGCACTTTGGGGCGAAGAGTTTTGGGCTTGTGCTTGGGGCTTCTTCGAGTTTCAGAATTTCAGGGTTTTGGGTTTCTTGGGCTTTAGAAGTAGGTTTAGGGTTTAGGGTTTAAGGGTTCAGGGTTTTTAGGGGCACCAAACCCTAAACCCTAAACCCTAAACCGATTGCAGCCGGGCTGCGCACCGCCACCTGTGCGTCGGGCGCGGGCCGAAGGCCCTCGTCAGGGAGCTTCACCACAGCCACGCGCAGGCGCGCGGCATCCCAGCCTACCAGCCTCAGGAGCGAAGGTTTAGGGTTCGGGGTTTAGGTTTAGGGTTCAACAATAACAATAACAATAACAATAACAAGAACAAGAACAAGAACAAGAACAAGAGCAAGAACAAGAACAAGTAGCAGTTCTTGATCTTCTTCCAGAAGACATACAGAAACATCAACATTAAAATAACAAACTTGAAAAAAAAAAACAAAAAAAAGAAAACGTAACACAACCGAGGGGCAGCAGGCACCGCGGCGCTTCCACAGGCCCCAGAGACTGCAGGTCGCGGCAGGGCAGCACGGCGCCTGCAGTGCAAAAGAACCGGGTTTAGGGGTTTAGGGGTTTAGGGTTTAGGGTTTAGGGTTTAGGGGTTAGGGTTTAGGGTTAGGGTTTAGGGTCTAGGGCACCCAGAGTCCTCAATGATTACATTCGAATCCTAAATAAGGTTCGAGGGTTATATACGTGCGCCGAGTAGGGTTAAAAGTAGAGCTAACATACTTAGAACCTGCTCATAACTCCTGCAGGTACGCCGCAATTTAGGGATACACGGTAAAGCAGAACATGGCCCCTTTGTATGGGACCCAACAGCCGGTGCTCAGTAGACTCATAGTCCACTATTCTAGGTACCTGAGGCTCCGCGATAGACTACGGAACACCTCTGACTAGGAGGGACTATACTTTTTCAGAGCACCTTAAACCATACAAAGGATGCACAGTAGTTAGGCTTTTAGGTATATCCCTGCATTGAGGGGGGCCCTGTGGGGACACGAAGGCTTAGATATCTTCGCTTTGGCTCACCGGCCAGGTACCTGCGGCAGTCGTCCACGACGGCAGCCTGGCAGCGTCTAGGGTTTAGGGCTTAGGGCTGAGGAGTAGACCTCCATTCTTTATGAGACCTTATGACTGATGACCTTGATTGTTTTTGCTACATTTTCAGGAAGACTCAGGCCCGCGAGTTCTTGCCCCAACAGTTGCCACGCCTTGGCGAAAGCGGAAGCTCCACGGCAGCTTCCTTACGTTGCTATGCAAGGTGAGGTCAGTTCTCTCAATTATGGTCCCTTTTGGGGGCCCTAAATTTTGCCCCAAGCACGACGGGCCGCCTTAGCCTAACAACCCCGTTAGAGAAATGACCTCAATGAAGGGTCTAAAGAAGGGACCCCGGTAACCCCCATATGGGGCGGTTCAGGTATATTGGGAGTATTTAAGGTGTACAGTATCGAGGGAGAGAGAGAGAGAGAGAGAGAGAGAGAGAGAGAGAGAGGGAGAGAGGGAGAGAGGGAGAGAGGGAGAGACGGAGATTGTTGCATCAGGCGGTGGGACCCAGCCCCCATGAGGGCTCTAAAAACGAAACACAGCTCACGAAGAATCCGACGGCGTTTGGCCGGGACGCCGGGGAGCCGAAGGGCCAGAAGGCGAGCAAAGGGAGCCCCGTCCTTCATCGTTTCGGCGTCGTCCGATTCTTCATCGGGGGCTAAGGGTTTAGGGTTTAGGGTTTAGGGTTTAGGGTTCGGTACCACAAGGGCCCCTAGTTCCCTGATTTTGTTCCAGAGCGAGGCTTGGCGGTCTTGAGCAGAGGGGAGTTCGAGGGGTTTATAGGGCTTCTGCGCCCTAGCATGCTACCTCTAGAGCCCCCCACCCCTACACTCACGTGCAGTTCACCTTCCATACAGGCTTTAACAACTCATCGTGCAGACGCTTGCATGAATTGATGAATTGATGTGCTGGCTTCTGTGCTTCTTTGAGTAGAAACAAGACAGTCCCACCTCGGCGCGAGCATCAGACAATGAGAAGACGCATCTTGCGAAGAGTTGCCTTGCTGCGAGTCTTTCTGACGCATTAAACACGGTCACAACAGAACAGTTGCTTCGGGCTGTCCATGAACACAGCATCTAGGCTCTTGTTCATTGCGCATGCACCGTGCAGGACATTGCTGGTTCCATCAGATGATCATTTACAATACAAGAACAATGTGTCACATTTGTAATATGGGTGTTTACGATAATGATGGACCCCTCATTGTCCCCCAGATAGTAGGATCCCCCTAAAATAAGGACCCCAATAAGGTACCCCAATAAGGTACCCCAATACGGTACCCCTAATATCGCAAACCCCAAGCCCGAAACCGTAAACCCTGAACCCTAAACCCTAGACCCTACCAAAAAACCCTTGGCCCCCCCCAAACCCTACACCCTAAACCCTAAACCCTAAACCCTAAACCCTAAACCCTAACTAAACCCTAAACCCTATACTATATAATACTTCGAAGGCGAGGCAGAGGCTGCCTGAAGCTTCGTCGCAGATCGCTGCCGAAGCTGGGAACTGCGGTCTCGGTAAGGCCTGCAGCCGAACGAACTGGAGTTTAGGGTTTAGGGTTTAGGGTTTAGGGTTTAGGGTTTAGGGTTTAGGGTTTAGGGTTTAGGGTTTAGGGTTTAGGGTTTAGGGTTTAGGGTTAGGGTTTAGGGTTTAGGGTTTAGGGTTTTGGGTTTAGGGTTTAGGGTTAGGGAGTTCGCAACAGAAGGAGCAAAGAGCAACCATCCTGAGCTGAGGTTGCAACTGCATCTCATGTTCTTCGACATTGTGGCGTGACAATGCTTAAGGCACTCAATACTCCACCCCATTGAAAGTATAAGGCCAGCCCTCTAGAATCTGCAATTCTTGAATGTACCCTGCTGTAAAGATATAAAGTGCGCCGCATGATCATAGGGAACCCAAACCGGAGCCATAATCTGGCCTTTGCCAAACCCTAGAAACCCTAGGCCCCTGGCCCCAAACCTCTACAGACGCTTATGCCCCTCGACTTTACCATGCACCCTAAACCCCAAACCCGAAACCCCAAACCCTAAACCCCAAACCCTAAACCCTAAACCCCAAACCCTCAACCCCAAATCCTACAACAGGGAACTTGTCGCCGCCTCCCAGGTCAAAGGACTCTGTCCCAGGCCGGGCTCGGAAGACTGGTACCTCAGTGCACTGGCAAATTCGAAACTACTACTTCGGGTTCTGGGATTAGGGTTTGGGGTTCAGGCTGTAGGGTATATGGTTTAGGGTTTAGGGTTTAGGGTTTAGGGTTGAGGGTTTGGGGTTTAGGGTTTAGGGTTTAGGGTTTAGGGCCTGGGAACCCGAAAACCCTCTCTGAGGTGGCCGGCAGCGTGAAGGCAGTGGTGGCGAGCAAGCCCCGACCAGGAAGGCCGGCCAGAGCCAAGGCCCGGAAGAACATGCCTCGGGCTTTGGGGGGGTCGAGGGTTTAGGGTTTAGGGTTTTGGGTTTTGGGTTTTGGGTTTTGGGTTTAGGGGGGTTTAGGGGCTTTAGGGGCTTTAGGGGCTGTATGAATTACAGGGCTTCCAAACTATGCACCACGACCAGCTGCCGAAGCCGGTGGTGTGCCAACACCAGGACCCCTGGTGTAGCCCTAAACTTGGGAAACCTGGAGAACCCTAAACCCTAAACCTGCAGCCTGGGAGCCGTGGGGCCACATTGACTTCACCTCCGGCGAGCCAAGGGCCGGGGAGATTTGCAACTTTCACAACAGCTTGGACGCGCCGAAACCCCTAAAACACTTCAAACCCCCCCCCCAAAACCCTTCAAACCCCCCCCCCAAACCCCAAAAGCCACCCAAGACCCCAAAGCCCCCCGCCCAAAAAAACACGACCCTTCGAAAAAAAAACATCTCTTCCAGATTCCAAACTACCAGATCTTTCATTATCTGCCTACCTTTCTTTACTATCTTATACTATCTTCCTTTATCTATGATTATCTATGTATCTGAATTTGTTAAAATGGAGTCTCCCCATTTTCGAGGCCTCGGTGGGCCGCTGCCACCAGGGGCTCCGCCGGGGCGCCTCCGAGCGGAGCCGCCGCAGGCGGCCCACGCCTCGTCCACAGGGAGCTTCCGCGGAAGTTAGGGAGGCTTAGGGTTTAGGGTTTAGAGGGTTTAGGGGTTTAGGGGTTTAGGGTTTGGGGTTTGGGGTTTAGGGTTTAGGGTTTGAAGGCTCTAGGGCTTTGAGGGTTTAGGGTTTGAGGGCTCTAATGGTTCAAGGCTCTGGGGTTTAAGGGCTCGAGGGGTTTGAGGGTTTTGGTGTTTATTCTTGGTGGATTGAGTGTCTTGTGCTTTAGGTTTCAGGGTTTCAAGGTTTTACGGTTTTGCGGCTCTAAGGGTTTACACTGCCAGTAGGGTTTGAAGTACCCTAAAGAGGGTTACAAGGGTGCAGGTACGAGCCTGCAGCCTTTCCTGAACTACCCTACAAGCCTCCCAGACGACAAAAGGCCTGCTTCGCCACACACTCTGTAGGTTGGGATGTTCCCCCTTATCCTAACAGTCCTAAATAGGCATTAGAGCACCGCCCCTATGACAATCCCTACTAAGGAGCGGGCCAGTCTAAGGGGGGACATCCCACTCTGTAGGTGCAGAAGGATCAAGGCCCAGATGACCCTTCGCATTGCGAAAGATGAACCGTGAATCATACGAGCATTTTCCCTCTGCTCTAAACCCTAAACCCTTAACCCTTAACATAGGATCCCCAGGCCCAAAACTGCCTAAACCCTCACTCGTTGGCTCCCCCGGCCTCCTTCCAGGGAAGCTGTTCCCTCGGGCACTGGGGCAAGCTCTCCTGGCACGGAACCCTCAGCCCCCAAACCCTGCAGGGTGTGGGGGCTTACAGCCAAAGTGGGGGAGATGGGAGCTGCTGGTAGGATTGGATCCTCTAGACCAGGTCCCTTTTGCTGCAGAACAGCTCACGGGAAGTCATCCGATGCTCCCAAATTCTGCGGCGGCCTTCGTAGCTGATAGGATGGCCTTCGGCTGGCTCTCAGGCACGCTTGCTAGCAAGAAGCGTGCAACACCACAGCAAGACGGGAATAACAGAGAGGAGCGGTGGGCTTGGTAGACAGGCTGCCATGCAGCGTTCCGAGTGCTGACATTTGCACACAGACAGGACGTGCCTGATCCGTAAGGCGACGAGTGCTCTCCTGCAAGGCTTCCTTACTGGTCATATCCCCCTAAACTTTCCCCAGGGTGTTTAGGAACCAGTCCCTTTCTAAGCACTAGCAAGGCTTCTTTTGGAGACTGACCTTTGCTGCTCTTCGGTTCAAAGCTTTTCGGCCCGCGCAACCAAAATGTTTTGACTCTGAGCCCATGTCCTGCTGGCGAGTACTCCTGCGCCGGCAGCCCGTCCGGGAGCCCTGCCAGCTCGTTGTGAGTTTCAGTACACAACATGACGCAATCTGGGGGTTTGCGAAAAGAAGGAGCCCCGAATACAGTCCCAAAATACTAGGACTCCCTTACAATCAGGACCCCAACAAGGTACCCCCTAAACTTCGGAAACCCCCCCAAACTGGCCCGCAGCTGCCATTCCAGCAAGCCTTGAGGCGCCCCGTAACTTGGATCAACTCTTGGGGAGGCCAGGCCTTCGGCATGGGCGGGCTCGTGTTCACCTGCAGTTAGGTTTTTTCAAAAGCCACCCTGGAGCCGACTCGCACGAGACTTCACACCACGGGTGGCACGCGCGCGCGCGCCTGCTGGAACAGACCCATGCTCAGCCTCGCCTGGGCAGGGCTTAGTACCGTCGAGAGGGGGGTGCACTGAGGCCATGAGCGAGGGTGGAAGCACTGTTCTTCTGGTACGTAGGCCCTTTGGCACCGTGCTTTTCAGAACTCAGTGGAAGGGTAGGGCGGGTATAGGGGTGTTGATCGTCCTGGCCTAGTATTTGCAAGCATTCCGCCCTTGTGGGCAGGAAAAAGACGCTGTCAGCCAGCACTGTCCCGTACATGCCTTCAGCATGCTCTCCATGATGCCCTGCATGATGTCCTGTCAAGCTACCCAGGCAGCCCAAGATCCCTTAACTAATTAAGGCAGTTACCCTTAAGTCGGAGTCAGCATCTTTCGTGGTTTAAAGTATATTCATGTACGTTCCTTGATTGAAGGATGGTGTGCACTCTGGCTACATCCAACTGCCCCGCGCGCAAGCTTCCACGGCAAGCTGAATGAGAGCTGGGATAAAGTTGCACAATATCATCAGTCTAACCTGACTCTCGAGTCCCGTAGACTCTTTCTATCTCGCACTGCCTTCCTTCCTTCCTTGCGTCCTTCCTTCCTTCCTTCCTTCCTTTCTTTCTTTATGTCTTGCTTTTGTTTCTTTCTTTGTTACTTTCTTTCTTTCAGCTCCCTCTCCCTCCGTCCCTCCTTGCCTCCCTTCCTCCCTCCAGCTTCAGAAGCCATGGCCGCTAATGTTGAGGTGACACACCCTGCCCAGCCTTCAGCTTCGATCTCCTTCTCGTGCTCGTCATGCTCGTACTTCTCTTCCGATTCTGCATCAGAGCGGCAGGTTCTCTCTACTGTGCAGGCATCCGTGTGCTTGTGACCGCACGTGTGCCACAGAAGGGACGGCTGCGCCGGAACCTCCATGGTAGGGGCCCTTCTCTTCCTCTTCCTCCCCCGACCAACTCACTCGGAAGAGGTCCTCAGATCAGAGCTATAGGAAGTTTTGGAAGTTTAGGGCAGCCAAGGTAATCATCATGGGTCCCCGGCGGCCCCAAAGGTCTCCGGGAACCAGTTGCTGCAGCCCTCTGCGATGGCAAGGAAGATCCAGCCTCGGGCTCTAAGCTTGTGAAGCCTACGGCAAACTCAAGCTGCTGCGAATTTTGTTTCTCATGGGGACTTACTTGGACAGCCGGGCCAGCGACAGAGCTGCAGGACCTGGGAACTTGCGCGCTCAAGAAAGGAGAGCCAGAATTGGGCATACTTTGAGGTAGTTGATACTGCAAACATGTTGGAGACTCTTGAGGGAAACCTTCCCCCCCCCCCCCCCGGGTGCCTGCGTCAGTCGCTGGAGCGCCTTCCATGGCAGGTTGTCCACCTGCGTAGGCAGTCCTTGGTGGCTTTTTTGGGTCTTGCTGGCCAGAGTTTGGGATGTTCCCACTTACGCTCATAGTCCATCCCTATTGAGGACTGCTTGTGTAAGGGGGAAGCATCCCAAGCCAGAGTGCCCAAGACGTACGCCTTGGCCTACTAGGGTTCCTTTCATACTATTCTTAGCCCAAGTCAAAGGCCAAGTCAAGGTATGTTATAGTTAATTCTCTTGGAGATATGTCGGGAGTCTTAGTTATCATATGTCAGGTATACTACAATTGTTCGCCTGGAAACAGCTATAAAGACTCTTAGACTTGCTTTTAAGGCATACTCCTTCATTTGCTATAACGGTCCTGGGCACCGTAGGTAGAAAAAAAACAGCAGGCGAAGGCACGAAAGCACGAAGGCATCCAAGCAGCGGGTCTGTCCCATAAGCTTCGTCCTGGCCAAACGACTTGGAGGTTCATCTGGGGTAGCCATAAGTTGTGTTATAAGTATGGAAACTAGTCTGAACGTCTACAACCCTATGTAGGGTACTGATACCCCATGAATGGTGCGCCCAAGACAAGAAAATTGCCCTCATTGAAAGCTTCAGAATGACCGGGCTCCACACATTGACCGCGTCACCCGCCGTTGAATGGAGCGACCGCGGTTGCCCTCAGACGACCGGGATCGGAGACATGGGCGGCTCTACAGATTTAGGGATTGCACGGGACGTCGGGCTTCCTGCCATGTGGCTCCAGACTTTGAGAGAAATCCATGTCGGGATCTCACCCAAAAAAGGGGGGGGGTTCCCTCAAAGAGTCCAAAAACACTGCAAAGCCCCTACGAACAGGATCCCAAACAAAAGGGATCCGAGCTTTTGGAAAACCTGGGGCCTTCGGCCTGAAGCCCAAAAAGTCCTGGCTCTGTGAACCCTCAAAAACCCTTAAACCCTAAGACAAAACCGTTAAACCCTTCTTTAAATACCCTAAGCTCTGTAAACAAAGAAACCTGCAGAAACCCTGTGAGCCCGAGCTGAAGTCTGACGAAAAGATCCTGATCTTGTCTGTTGTTGAGGAGTACTCCTTATCACCCTACGTAGAACTACTCAAATGAACCTCTAAGCACGCCCTAAACCCTAAACCCTAAACCCTAAACCCCAAACCCCAAACCCCCCCAAACCCTGAACCCCAGCGACAACCCCAAAGCGCCTCCGGCTCCAGGCCGCCTGCGCTGGGACCTGCTTGGGCAGCTCGCAACGGGCAAAGAGGGAGTTTAGGGCCTTTAGGGTTCATTGTTTAGGGTTTAAGTTTCAGGGTTTAGGGTTCAGGGTTCAGGGTTCAGGGTTCAGGGTCTGGGGTTCAGGGTTTAGGGCCTCTGGGACTTGAACTGCTCGAGGCCCAAACCCAAAACCCAAAACCCAAAACCCAAAACCCAAAACCCAAAACCCAAAACCCAAAGCCCAAACCCTGAACCCCCTCCCCACCCCGGCCCCGAGTCCATGGCTTCCCGTGGTGGCCTGGGCTCGCGCCGCGCGTGTTCAAAGACTCGCCTCAGGGGAGCGTTTCGCGGAATTACGGAGCCCTGGGATTGGGTTCGGAACAAGAATTGTAGTACCCCCTATCAGAACCCCTATTAAAGGCTGCTAGTATAAGGGGCTTCGGGTTGAGGGCCCATCAGCAGGAGATGGCCCAAGATTAACCCAACGGCCACACGATCCTCAAACCTGTGGCCAGGGCCGTCTTCAGACTCGTCCACAGCCTGCCTCGGCGAGATGCTCGCAAGAATGCTAGGCCCGGAGAGTGGCGCCTTGTTGGGTTTAGGGTTTAGGGGTTTCTTTAAGTGTTGGGGTTTCGGGTGGAGGTGTACTGAGATGTACGTAGGTGTACTGAGGTGTACTGAGGTGTACTGAAGTGTACTGAGGTGTACTGGGGTGTGCTGAGGTGTACTGGGGTGTACTGAGGTGTACTGAGGTGTACTGATCTCTCACATTGGGCAGCGCAAGTGGAAGTCTGTGGTGCCGGGCTGTGCATCAGAGAACACTCTCCGGACAGCTTGGACAAAGCTGCCGACCTTGCGAGAGCCGACTTTTGCTGTTTATGAGGGTCTTCCTGAGCTTTGTGCCCGTGAGGGTTTTGAGGTTAAACCCTAAACCCTAAACCCTAAACCCTTGGCCTCTGCCCACGCAGAATGACCTCCCTGTCTCTTGGTATCTCCATGACCTCCCTCCAGAGATCCACCACAGTTGCACTCTACTTGGAGGTTCATGGTACTTACTAACCACTTATAACTGGGCTTATAACCCTACTTCTAATTGGGAGAACCTCCATAAGGCCTACCATGAACCTCCAAGTACACTACTTTGAACCCAACTAGTAGGATCTCCTTATGATAAAGACCCCAATAGGGTACCCCTAATTTCATAAACCCCCATGTCGGATCCACAATCACAGAAAAGGCCTTTATCTTCCCTTCTTGCACTTTGGCGGCAGACTGGGCGTTTCTGGCTCCCCAAAGAGCCCCACGACAAAACCCTAAACCCCAAACTCTTAACCCTAAACCCCTAAACCCTAAACCCCCTGGAGGATGCATGGCCTAACTTCAAGCTGAGCTGATCCCTACGACATGAGGGGAAAGGCACACCTTTCTTGACTGGGGGCTTCAGGGAAAGGATTCAGGGTTTAGGGTTCAGGGTTTTGTGGGTTTAGGGCTTGGAGGGTGCTGGGGTTTAGGGTTTAGGGTTTAGGGATATTGGGATCTCCTGTCTGCCAGAGTCTCAGCTCAAAGCATGGCCGGCCACGTCGTCCAACGAGAGCAGAGGACGCCGCCCCACCCGGTCGTAGATGCATTCCCCTGAAGCAGCTTCAAGCCTATTAAGGGTTTCGGGTTTCGGGTTTCGGGTTTAGGGTTTCGGGTTTAGGGTTTCGGGTTTAGGGTTTAGGGCTTAGGGCTTAGGGTCCTATATCATTAACCCTGTAAACCCTAAAAGCCTAGAAACCCCAAACAGTCAGGAGCTTGGGTATGTCGGGAGTGGTGTGCGGAATGGGCCTGACTCCAGGTCGTAGAAGTAGATCTGCGACCTTTGTGCTCCGCAAATGGGGGGCAGGGTTTGGGGCTTTCTGTCTAAGGTTTTAGGAGTTAGGAGTTAGGAGTTAGGGTTTAGGGTTTAGGGTTTAGGGTTTGGGGTTTGAGTTTAGGGTTTAGGTTCTACGGTTTGGGGTCTCTGCCCGCAGTGCCCTGGAAGGCGCCCCGCTTGCCAGCAGCGACCTGCATCGGCCCGATGACGTAGCCGGCGAAGACATCTTCGCCCTGAGCCCGAGAAGGGTTTGGGTTTTAGGGCTTAAGGGTTTTAGGTTGCAGAGTTGAGGGTTTAGGGTTTGGGGTCTAGGGTCTTAGGGTCTTAGGGTCTTAGGGTCTTAGGGTCTTAGGGTTTAGGGTTGAGGGTTTAGGGTTTAGGGTTTAGGGTTTAGGGTTTAGGGCTACGGAGTTTAGGCTTCCCCGATGCGGCCGCCCGCCTTCTCGAGGTCGTTCAGCTCATCCCAGGTCTTCAGCTCAATTCGGTCCCGCTCCTGTCAGGACGTCATAGGAACTGGGAACCCTCAGTCCTATAGGGTTCTCAGGGGAAAAAATAGGATCCTATAGGGTTCATGGTACACTGTTCATGGTTTAGGGTTTCTCAAGGGGAAAAAAAAAAAGGGATCCCTTCTCGACGCAGGATTCAGGGCTTATCCGACGGAGGTGAAGCGGGGGCCGGCGGAGGATTCGGGGCCGCAGGATGTTCATAGAGTGCAGTGTCTGTACAAGGACCGACCCCCCCCCCACAACCCCCATGCCACCAAAACACAAGAACAAGGCAACTGGACCGTGCGCAGTTTGACTTCTTGGCGTTGTCTCAGCAAATCCCATGCCAACGCTCAACATCTGTACACCTCACAGCAGAGATGAAGAGGGCCCTTGCTCCATGAACGACCACGAAAGCAAGGCTCATCCTCACACAAAGGAAGAAGCATTGGCCTGTGCATACAAGCCCTCAGCTTCCTTCCCAAAACCTAACGCTTCAGATGCCCGTGGCTCAGAACTGGTCTTTCACTGCCTTCACGGCCATGGCTTTCACAACCGTCTTTGCCGGCTGTGCCTTGACTGTCACTTCCTTGCCGAACATCATCTTCTTTCCGGCCTTCGTGGCCGGCTTCGTGCGGGTCTTGATCATGACGAGGCCGGGAAGGACAAACTTGCCCGTCTTCTTCACCTCCGTCGCGCCGATGTCAGCCAAGGAAGTCAGCACCTGTGTCACGTCGCCCTTCTTCAAGCCGGTGCTTTCGGCCACCTGAGCGGCAATGCCACTCTTCGGCATGGCACGGACTGCCTTCATCTTCATCACCTTCATGCTCTTGGCAGCTCCCGTGGCCTTCATTGCCTTCATGGGGGCCATGGCTTCAAAGATTGTCAGGGAGATCAGAAAACTACGGGCGAATCTGAGCCTTTTCTGGCATACAAGATGTACTTTGAGGAACTATTCCGACAGACCCATGCCACAAAACGCAAGAACAAGGCTGGACTGTGCGCAGTTTGACTTCTTGGCTGTTGTGTCAGCAAATCCCATGCCAACACTCAACATCTGTACACCTCACAGCAGAGATGAAGAGGACCCTTGCTCCATGAACGACCACGAAAGCAAGGCTCATCCTCACACAAAGGAAGAAGCGCCGGCCTTTGCATACAAGCCCTCAGCTTTCTTCCCAAAACCTAACGCTTCAGATGCCCGTGGCTCAGAACTGGTCTTTCACTGCCTTCACGGGCACGGCTTTCACAACCGTCTTTGCCGGCTGTGCCTTGACTGTCACTTCCTTGCCGAACATCATCTTCTTTCCGGCCTTCGTGGCCGGCTTCGTGCGGGTCTTGATCATGACGAGGCCGGGAAGGACAAACTTGCCCGTCTTCTTCACCTCCGTCGCGCCGATGTCAGCCAAGGAAGTCAGCACCTGTGTCACGTCGCCCTTCTTCAAGCCGGTGCTTTCGGCCACCTGAGCGGCAATGCCACTCTTCGGCATGGCACGGACTGCCTTCATCTTCATCACCTTCATGCTCTTGGCAGCTCCCGTGGCCTTCATTGCCTTCATGGGGGCCATGGCTTCAAAGATTGTCAGGGAGATCAGAAAACTACGGGCGAATCTGAGCCTTTTCTGGCATACAAGATGTACTTTGAGGAACTATTCCGACAGACCCATGCCACAAAACGCAAGAACAAGGCTGGACTGTGCGCAGTTTGACTTCTTGGCTGTTGTGTCAGCAAATCCCATGCCAACACTCAACATCTGTACACCTCACAGCAGAGATGAAGAGGACCCTTGCTCCATGAACGACCACGAAAGCAAGGCTCATCCTCACACAAAGGAAGAAGCGCCGGCCTTTGCATACAAGCCCTCAGCTTTCTTCCCAAAACCTAACGCTTCAGATGCCCGTGGCTCAGAACTGGTCTTTCACTGCCTTCACGGGCATGGCTTTCACAACCGTCTTTGCCGGCTGTGCCTTGACTGTCACTTCCTTGCCGAACATCATCTTCTTTCCGGCCTTCGTGGCCGGCTTCGTGCGGGTCTTGATCATGACGAGGCCGGGAAGGACAAACTTGCCCGTCTTCTTCACCTCCGTCGCGCCGATGTCAGCCAAGGAAGTCAGCACCTGTGTCACGTCGCCCTTCTTCAAGCCGGTGCTTTCGGCCACCTGAGCGGCAATGCCACTCTTCGGCATGGCACGGACTGCCTTCATCTTCATCACCTTCATGCTCTTGGCAGCTCCCGTGGCCTTCATTGCCTTCATGGGGGCCATGGCTTCAAAGATTGTCAGGGAGATCAGAAAACTACGGGCGAATCTGAGCCTTTTCTGGCATACAAGATGTACTTTGAGGAACTATTCCGACAGACCCATGCCACAAAACGCAAGAACAAGGCTGGACTGTGCGCAGTTTGACTTCTTGGCTGTTGTGTCAGCAAATCCCATGCCAACACTCAACATCTGTACACCTCACAGCAGAGATGAAGAGGACCCTTGCTCCATGAACGACCACGAAAGCAAGGCTCATCCTCACACAAAGGAAGAAGCGCCGGCCTTTGCATACAAGCCCTCAGCTTTCTTCCCAAAACCTAACGCTTCAGATGCCCGTGGCTCAGAACTGGTCTTTCACTGCCTTCACGGGCATGGCTTTCACAACCGTCTTTGCCGGCTGTGCCTTGACTGTCACTTCCTTGCCGAACATCATCTTCTTTCCGGCCTTCGTGGCCGGCTTCGTGCGGGTCTTGATCATGACGAGGCCGGGAAGGACAAACTTGCCCGTCTTCTTCACCTCCGTCGCGCCGATGTCAGCCAAGGAAGTCAGCACCTGTGTCACGTCGCCCTTCTTCAAGCCGGTGCTTTCGGCCACTTGAGCGGCAATGCCACTCTTCGGCATGGCACGGACTGCCTTCATCTTCATGACCTTCATGCTCTTGGCAGCTCCCGTGGCCTTCATTGCCTTCATGGGGGCCATGGCTTCAAAGATTGTCAGGGAGATCAGAAAACTACGGGCGAATCTGAGCCTTTTCTGGCATACAAGATGTACTTTGAGGAACTATTCCGACAGACCCATGCCACAAAACGCAAGAACAAGGCTGGACTGTGCGCAGTTTGACTTCTTGGCTGTTGTGTCAGCAAATCCCATGCCAACACTCAACATCTGTACACCTCACAGCAGAGATGAAGAGGACCCTTGCTCCATGAACGACCACGAAAGCAAGGCTCATCCTCACACAAAGAAAGAAGCATTGGCCTGTGCATACAAGCCCTCAGCTTTCTTCCCAAAACCAAACGCTTCAGATGCCCGTGGCTCAGAACTGGTCCTTCACTGCCTTCACGGGCATGGCTTTCACAACCGTCTTTGCCGGCTGCGCCTTGACTGTCACCTCCTTGCCGAACATCATCTTCTGTGGTAATCTTATGGCGGAGTTTGGCCCCGAGAGACCTCACTCAGCAGCGGCGAAGACTGAAGACAAAGACAAAGACAAAGACGAAGAACTGCTCAATGGGCTCTGGGCCCACATGCAGCGCGAATCGCAGCCCTAACGACAGCAAAGTGCTTGAGACGCTGCCAACTTACAGCAAGGGGTTCTCGAGGAAGTGCCCAAGCCAATCGCCATGCCCATGGATCATCAGGACGTCGAGGAGGCCGTCCATCTGAGAACTCAGTGCAATGCCACACGGCGTGAGCCCAAGAAGGGCACACCGCTTCACCACAGAATCTACACGATTGCAAAGGAGTCGGGGCTCGACGCGGGAGGTTGAGACGGATGGCCTCATACGCAGCCTCGCTGTTGCCACCACCGAGAAGGACACCTCGTTGTTCAGCCGTGGCCTTGGCATAGAGCTTCGAAGTCATCTTCACTTGCACCTCGTTGTAAGTAGCATGCGCCGTCACCAGCTCTTCGGCATCTCATCATCTTCTTTCCGGCCTTCGTGGCCGGCTTCGTGCGGGTCTTGATCATGACGAGTCCGGGAAGGACAAACTTGCCTGTCTTCTTCACCTCCGTGGCACCGATGTCAGCCAAGGAAGTCAGCACCTGTGTCACGTCGCCCTTCTTCAAGCCGGTGCTTTCGGCCACCTGAGCGGCAATGCCACTCTTCGGCATGGCACGGACTGCCTTCATCTTCATCACCTTCATGCTCTTGGCAGCTCCCGTGGCCTTCATTGCCTTCATGGGGGCCATGGCTTCAAAGATTGTCAGGGAGATCAGAAAACTACGGGCGAATCTGAGCCTTTTCTGGCATACAAGATGTACTTTGAGGAACTATTCCGACAGACCCATGCCACAAAACGCAAGAACAAGGCTGGACTGTGCGCAGTTTGACTTCTTGGCTGTTGTGTCAGCAAATCCCATGCCAACACTCAACATCTGTACACCTCACAGCAGAGATGAAGAGGACCCTTGCTCCATGAACGACCACGAAAGCAAGGCTCATCCTCACACAAAGGAAGAAGCGCCGGCCTTTGCATACAAGCCCTCAGCTTTCTTCCCAAAACCTAACGCTTCAGATGCCCGTGGCTCAGAACTGGTCTTTCACTGCCTTCACGGGCATGGCTTTCACAACCGTCTTTGCCGGCTGCGCCTTGACTGTCACCTCCTTGCCGAACATCATCTTCTTTCCGGCCTTCGTGGCCGGCTTCGTGCGGGTCTTGATCATGACGAGTCCGGGAAGGACAAACTTGCCTGTCTTCTTCACCTCCGTGGCACCGATGTCAGCCAAGGAAGTCAGCACCTGTGTCACGTCGCCCTTCTTCAAGCCGGTGCTCTCGGCCACCTGAGCGGCAATGCCACTCTTCGGCATGGCACGGACTGCCTTCATCTTCATCACCTTCATGCTCTTGGCAGCTCCCGTGGCCTTCATTGCCTTCATGGGGGCCATGGCTTCAAAGCTTGTCAGGGAGATCAGAACACTACGGGCGAATCTGAGCCTCTTTCATGGCATCGGCTCAAGAGGTCACGGCAGGCACGGGCATGTCGGAATCGCAAGGGCCTGAGGCCACCCTAAACCCTAAACCCTAAACCCAGGTTCTACAGGCCCTGTTCAGGGAGGCATGGGGCACCCGACGACTTGGGGCACAGGAGCCCACAACCCTAAGCCCCACGAGCACGACCTCCGCATCGAAGGGCACGCCCTGCTCGCGCTTGAGCTCGACCAGGTGCGCCATCAGAGCCTGGCTGAGTTTAGGGTTGAGGGTTTTGGGTTCAGGGTTTAGGGTTCAGGGTTTAGGGTTCAGGGTTTAGGGTTTAGGGTTTAGGGTTTAGGGTTTAGGGTTTAGGGTTTAGGGTTTAGGGTTTAGGGTTTAGGGTTTAGGGTTTAGGGCTTAGGCCCATGGAGGCTTCTGGGGCAGACTGTTGGTAGTGCCACGGTTGCTCATTGTTGTCATTTACGAATGCGTTGTATATAGTAGTGTTTTGCCTTTGGTATATTATGGCGATGCTATCTGTCGTGTTTTTATAGCTCTGCTACTTTCGGATTTTGGTACCGACACTATGCAACATTCCTTGTCCGTCGGTGGCCACGCCTTGCGTGACAGCGTGTACTCCTTGCGATATTGCTCAAGCGCCACTTGGTCCTGCAAGACTCGGGCGGGGGGTCATGGCCCTAAACCTTCCGGCACAAGCCCAGCATAGCCTGCGCAGGAGCCCCCCCCACTTGTCCGCCCGTCCTCCTCATTCAAGTAGGGCTCCGGGAGAGCCTGAATCAGTGGTTCCGAGAAGAACTGCTATGCTGCCAGCTCTCCATCAACTTACCCAGAGTGCCCTATTTCCCATGGAGTACACCTTAAACCAATATAGGGATCCATATTCTGTCTACAGTATCCCTATGTATCCCTTAAATTCATGGAGGCTTGGGCTTTTTGGTACACGCCAGCCCTCCGGAGCCACTGGCCTCCCAGCGGCGCAGCGCCATCTGCGCCATTGTGGAAAAGTTGTCGCAAGCAGCCAAGATCTTGTCCTCTCCGCGGGTCTCTGGCGGCTTTCTTTTATCAATGAAAAAATACACAGCACACTCGATAACTAATATTTGCTTGGAGATTCATGCGTAGGGTTAGAAGTACCCCGAAGAGGGTGACAAGCATAGTGACCATACTTAGAAACCCTACTGTTACCGACCCAAGTGAACCTCCAAGTAGGGGGCGCTCCGGGAATATGGGGTTTCAGAAATTAGGGGTCCTTAATACAAGGGAATCCTACTATTTGGGGCTCAAAATTAGGGGTCTCAACGCAGGCTCGACCTCTCTCTCTCCTCCCGTGCAGATCGGTCCTGGGCCATGCGCTGGGACGCACCGGGCCTTGAGAAACGGCGTGGCTTGGGATCCTTTATAGGGATTATAGCCTGGGGTACTATAATCCCCATTGAGGACTGTTAGTACAAGGGGGAACATCCCGAGGCGTGGCAATGGAGGGAAGTAGGCTATCTACAGGTCTCTTCAGTGCAAAGGACATGCTTCTGAAGTCCGAAACCTGATAATGGCAAGCATGACCTACTGATTCTTGCTGTGGGAACCCTAAACCCTAAACCCTAAACCTTAAACCCTAAACCCTAAACCCTCAACCCTAACTGATCGCTGTAGGATTCGGGTCCCACTCGAGGCCTCCAAGGATCTGGTGGCAGGGCGTGCTCCGCATCCGTCGGGTCCTTTGGGTTCAGGGTTTAGGGCTCGGATGGGTTTGGGGCTTGGGGCTTAGGGCTTAGGGCTTAGGGCTTAGGGCTTAGGGCTCAGGGCTCAGGGCTCAGGGCTTAGGGCTTAGGGCTTAGGGCTTAGGGCTTAGGGCTTAGGGCTTAGGGCTTAAGGCTTAGGGCTTAGGGCTTAGGGCTTAGGGCTTAGGGCTTAGGGCTTAGGGCTTAGGGCTTAGGGCTTAGGGCTTAGGGCTTAGGGCTTAGGGCTTAGGGCTTAGGGCTTAGGGCTTAGGGTTTAGGGTTTAGGGTTTAGGGTTTAGGGTTTAGGGTTTGGGGCATTTGGGATTGCCGGGGCTTGTGGGGGCTGTTGGCCCAATTCCCTGAAGCCTTTGGAGCTTTGGGGCCCCTCACTCCTTAGTTGAAGAACACCGCCTCGCTACGTCAGAGGTATTGGGCTCTCTGTGCGCTTGCCATACCCTAAACGCTAAACCCTAAACCCTAAACCCTAAACCCTAAACCCTAAACCTCTTGCCATTTTCCAACTCCCTGCTGCCGAAGGGTCGTAGCTCGAGTCGCCAAAGACGTCCAGGAACAAGACGGCCCGGAATCTCCTGGCTTGGAGGGGTTTAGGGTTTAGGGTTTAGGGTTTTCAAACCCTCAACCCTAAAAACCCGTAAAGACTCCAAAAGACCTCAAACCCAACAACCCTAAAAGCCCCAAGCCCCAAAAAACATGAAAACCCTGAAGCCCTCAAAACCAAAACTAAAAAGAAACCTAAAACCCTAAAAACCCCAAACCCCCAACAGGAGCTCCGGGCCAAGGGCCGGCATATGTCGTTCTTCCACGCGCCTTGGCAAGGACATGACCTCGTCCGTCGGCCTCGCCTTGGCCAAAGGGTTTAGGGTTTGGGGTTTAGGGTTTAAGGTTTAGGTTTAGGGTGGTCCCATGCAAGGCAGATGAATTGCATGGGAGCATCGAACTAAACGCGGTATGCTCATAATCTATAACAGATTCATACCTGCACGCACGATCAAGATGTGCTGCCTTGCAGGGCAGCTGCTGTGCTTGTCCTGGTGATCAAAAAGCAGCCATCCTTGATCTGTATAGGGTTTAGGGTTTCGGGTTCAGGGTTTAGGGGTGTATGGTATAACTGTCTAACCCTGAACCCCTAAATCCTAAACCCTAAACCCTAAACCCTGAACCCTACAACCCCTAAAACCGACGCAGCAAATCGATTCCGGGTCGGTGGCAAGTTCCAGGATCAGCTGGAAGTACACGACCTCCCAAGACGTCGAGCAGCTCTCAGACAAATGAGGGTGACAAATGAGGGTTTAGGGTTTAGGGTTTAGGGTTTAGGGCTTAGGGTTTAGGGTTTAGGGTTTAGGGTTTAGGGTTTAGGGTTTAGGGTTTAGGGTTTAGGGTTTAGGGTTTCAGTAATGATGTCTATAATGAGAATACCAGTTATACGAATAGTACTAAAAAGACTAATAGTACCAATAAGACCAATAGTACTCAGAATACCAAGCATACTAAGTGTAGTAAGAATTACAGCAATAATAACAGCAACAGCGGGGCTGCGAAGAGCCTGAAACCAGAAGCCGATCGGGGCCAGGGGGAACGGCTTCGTGATGTCCGGCATGTGTTCTTCCTCCAGGATGCTCGCTGCCGCAGGCAAAAGCAAAAGGCTGTTTTGGGAGCCGCATGATAGAGCTCGAGCTCCAGAGCTGCTGTGTGAAGAGTTGAAGCAGTCTACGATACAGAATCTGCTGGGCCCGAAACACCATGGACAGGCTTGGCTACTCCTCCCAGGGCCCTCCTAGAGACTGGCACTAGCTTTTTCAGCGAGGTTCTGTCAGCTTGGGCTCTTGCGAGCAGAATAGGGAAACCGGATTATTGGCGAGTAATCACATACATA